GAGAACAAACTGAGAACTGGTCCTAATATCCACAGAGAACTGGTCCTAAAATCCACAGAAAACCAACCAAGAACTGGCCCTAATACCTACAGGGAACTGATCCTAAAACCCACAGAGATCCGACCCTAAAACCCACAAAGAACTGGTCCTAATATCCACAGAGAACTAGCCCTAAAATCCACAGAGAACCAACCAAGAACTGGCCTTAAAATCCACAGAGAACTGGCCCTAAAACCCACAGAGGTCTGACCCTAAAATCTACAGAGATCCAACCCTAAAACCCACAAAGAACTGGTCCTATATAACCCATACAGAACCAACCCTCCATTCCAAGAACTGGTCCTAAAATCCACAGAAAACCAACCAAGAACTGGCACTAAATCCCACAGAGATCTGACCTTAAAAACCACAGAGAACTGGTCCTATAACCCATTCAGAACCAACCCTCCAATCCAAGAACTGGTCCTAGAATCCACAGAGAACCAACCAAGGACTGGCCCTAAATCCCAAGGAGAATTGGCCTTAAAATCCACAGAGAACCCTTCTAAAGTCCTCGTGGCCGAGCAGATCTTATTAATTTCTGTGGTTTTGAGCCTTCCCAGAACACCACAGATGTTTTTGTTCTTATATTTTGTCTGATCAGAGTTTAATTATGGGCAAAGCTGGAAACTAATTGCTAACTAATGATCTTATTACAGAGATAAACTGTCTGCAGATCTTTTAACCACTCTCTGTAAAAAACACAGATTTGCTCCCTTCAGAATTTTTTTCCTGTTGTCCCACGTTCAGCATGTTTGTGACACAACAGCTAAAATGACTTTAGTGCCTTTGTTCTCACTCAGCACAAACTCATCTTTTTAATGTCTTTTTAATGGTGTGTTTAGAACAAGTCAATCAAAATCTGCAAGTAAAAGACATTAAAGAAGCCGTTTTATAGACATGGTATGCATTAACAGCATGGCTTTAAGCATCATAAAGAATCTATAAAAGGTTTTATAGTGAAAGTGAAAAATAGCTTCCTTATGTTGTGTTTTTCTGGCTCATGATTGTATTTGGGCCAAACAGCATTAACCTGATTTCTGCTGTGAATCAAGGTCTAATCAGCGCTTGGCGTTTGTCTCGTTTTGACGTGTGCACGGAGCTGCTTCCCGTCTCTGAATCCCACTCTGTCTCCTTTCATACGCGTCAAGATTAAAAGTTCATTGAGTCAAAAATATTTGCGGGCAGGAAGGTGCTACTTGTGTTTAATTTATGAGCAGCTAAGAGGCTGCTGCAGGGCACCCCCATTAGCATAGAGCTAAGGGTTTGTTAGCCGAGCCACGAAAACAGGGAGACTTTCCAAATGTGGGGAGAGAAAGTCGGGATCAGGAGACGGAAATGTCAAAGGTGAAGGATGAAGAGGACAGAAGATGTCACAAAGAGACTGTTTCTGTGACAATTAGGATATATAAAGCTAAATAAACTGTGTGCTTCGTAATCCCACCGCTGACAAACCTGCTGCTGCAGGATGAAACTCCTGTTTGGAGCCAAAGGTTGGCCGGATGACGTTGGTGTTTCCAGGTCGGGGCAGCGTTGATGCTCCCTGATGGTGCAATTAGTGCTGCGCTCCAGGAACAGACGGGGGTTTTCTCCTCTGGACCAGAATGTCGTCACGCTAAAAACACAAGTCAGTGGCATCAGCGCAGCCTCGGCACAATAACAAGCACCGCAGCAACAACAGTGACTGCTGCAGTTACTAAAAATCAATTCTGAGCTGATGGGTTTTACCTGCAGACTGCAGAGCTCACCTGCATTTTAAAGAGCAGCGACGTGTTAAAATGTGTCCAGAGTTTCCGTTGAAATAATTTGTGACTGAATGTTTATGTTTCAAGTAATGATCAGGAAATTAACAGTGTGAATATTGGAGGAGAAGCTGCTATGACCTAAAATTTTGTCACTTTTATATTTTTCAAAATATCAAACTTTTTTAAACTAATTTCTTTTTTTCTTTTTTTTCAAATCATTCAAAAACATTTTTTCTCAGAACTCTGCTCTGTTTCAGCACACTGGCTCTGTTTGTGTCTTTTTATCCAAGGCCTACTTTTAGTCTTTAGTCGGTCGTTAGCTGCTAGCTGTTTTTAGCTGATGTTTGCTACTTTTAGCTAGCTTTTTGATGCTTTTATTTGTAGGTAGCCTTTTAGTTGATCTTTGGTTGTTTTGTAGCTAGCACTTTGATACTTTTACCTATTTTACTAGACTTTTGCACAATTAGCTTTTAGTTAGCCTTTTGCTACTTTGAACTTTCATCTAGCCTTTGGCCAACCTTTTGCTGTTTTTCACTAGCATTTTGCTAACTTCAATTTTTAACGAGCAACTTGCTATAGTTTTGGCAAGTAATTTTGCTATTTTTAGCTGACAGCCTACATTTTGCTGGTTAAAGTCATCATTTGGCTGCCTTTTCTTTGGCTACATTTTTGCTACTTTGGCTAACATTTTTGCTACTTTTTTGCATTGGCTAGCATTTTGCTACTTTGGCTAGCATGATTTTGCTACCTTGGTCAGAATTTTGCAACTTTTTCCTTGGCTAGCATTTTGCCACTTTGGCTAACATTTTGCTTCTTTTTTTTGCATTGGATAGCATTTTCCTACTTTGGCTAACATTTTGCTACTTTTTTGTTGCTAGTGTTTAGCTATTTTGCCTTGGCTAGCAATTTGCTACTTTGGCTAGCATTTGCAACTTTTGTTGTTGCTAGCATATTGCTACTTTTGCATTGGCTAGCATTTTGCTACTTGGCTAGCACTTTGCTAATTTTGCATTGGCTAGCATTTTTCTACTTTGGCTAGCATGATTTGGCAACCTTGGTCAGAATTTTGCAACTTTTTCTTTGGCTAGCATTTTGCCACTTTGGCTAACATTTTTGCTTCTTTTTTTGCATTGGATAGCATTTTCCTACTTTGGCTAACATTTTGCTATGTTTTTGTTGCTAGTGTTTAGCTATTTTTGCCTTGGCTAGCATTTTGCTACTTTGGCTAGCATTTGCTACTTTTGTTGTTGCTAGCATATTGCTACTTTTGCATTGGCTAGCATTTTGCTACTTTGGCTAGCACTTTGCTACTTTTGCATTGGCTAGCATTTTGCTACTTTGGCTAGCATGATTTTGCTACCTTGGTCAGAATTTTGCAACTTTTTCTTTGGCTAGCATTTTGCCACTTTGGCTAACATTTTGCTACTTTTTTGTTGCTAGTGTTTAGCTATTTTTGCATTGGCTAGCATTTTGCTACTTTGCCTAGCAGTTTGCTACTTTTGCATTGGATAGATTTTGGTACTTAGGCTAGCATTTTGCCACTTTTAGTTTTACTAGTATTTTTGCCTTTTTCTTAGCTGCAACATTTTCAGTTTCTTCAGCTCTCATCTCTCACTGTATTTTCTCAGAAAATGAATTTTCTTCAGCTGCGAGTTTGTTTTGTTGCATCAATGATGATTGCTGGATTTGTAGTCAGAATAAATTTGTCTTTTGTATATTTGAGAAAACCCTGTTACCTTGTGTTTAGAAAATGAAGCAGTTGAAGCTCAAACAGCTGTATGAAACACTGCAGCAGGTTTACCTTCATAAAGCACTGCAGTTTGTTTAGACTAAACTCAGAAGGTTCTGTTCCTGGCAGAACCTCAGATGAATCTCTCCTCGTTGTCGACCACATGGATTCAAATTGAACATTTTCTGTCTGTAATCACATCGCAGCTCCTGGAACCCCTCTGGGTGCTCGAGCCGTGAGTTTGTGAAACGACACGTTAGAGTGGAGAACCACCAGAGTTATGGGATCATAAAACAGTTGAACGAGCACATCATGTGCACGGAGCAACACCGTGACTGAGCTCTTATAATCCCAATGCACAAGTGCCACTTCTTCATCCTGCTCAGATGAAAATTCTGCTGAGAGAAATTAAACTGCAGTTACAGGAAAGACAAGATGAGCTAACAAAAAAAAGTTTAAAAGTGATAAAACTTACTGTGTAATTTTATACGCTGCTGCAGAACATCAGCTAAAAGAAGCTAAAAGAATCAAATCACAACTAAAACTAAAGAAAGCAGAACCCACTAAAAGCTAAAAGAAGCTAAATATGACATTAAAGCTGTTTTGCTGATTTAAAGCTGATTGTATTTGTGATGTGTATTTCTTATTGTACATGTTTTGTTTTTTAAAAAAGAAATGAATAAACTTTATAAATAACATAAATAAAAGTCAAAGATAAAAATGTTTTTATGGTTATCTATTCATAAAATAAAATAAAACTTTCAGAAATACAAATCATGAAAAGCAAATTTGAGATAGAAATAATAAACTAATTTAAATTTCTACTGGATCTGTTGGAAAACATTCAAGTAAGAAGAAAAATAAAAGTTGTGCCGTACCAGAGACAGCTCAACACTGGACCATAAATCACTGTTGAGTCTGTATTTATCACCAGATCTGTCACTGACTGCGCACACAAATACATTAAATTTAAGTCAAACATGTTGAAAATTTATGATTTGGTTAAATTCAAAACTGCATGTTTAAAACAAGTATTAACGAACTTCGTTAAAATGATAAAAAACACAGAGTTCAAGAAGAAAAGTCTTTATCTGTGTGAGGGGTGGATTTGTTAAAAACATTTATAGAAAAAAGTCATTTTGAGTTGTTAGATGGTGAATTTCAGACATGTAGTGAAATTGATATAAAGTAAGAAGTTTTAACAAGAAATAAAATCTGAATTTTTGTTTCAACTGACAAGTGAGAAAAGGGACAATATTACTTTTACTTTATACAGATGACTTTCTAAGTTGCCAAAATGCGTATTTATTACGTCTGTTTTGAAATAATGTTTTATTATTAAGAATAAAAGTTGGTATGTTTTAGTCCCTTGGTGTCACCTGGAGTTATTTAAAAAGAGCTCATTTTGTGTGTTTAGCAGCTGAACTCTGCAGTGATGTTATAAAGGCTGCAAAATAAGATGTTTGATTTTTCTCCTCGTCTCTCAGGTTGACAGATTGAAGAGCATCCTCCTGAGGCCGCCTGCTGACTGAAAACAAGCACTGCGTGGGAACTCCATGTGTGTGTGCTGCTAACCCCCTGTGTGTGTGTGAGTGTGTGTGTGTGTGTGTGAGTGTGTGTGAGAGTGTGTGTGTGAGTGGCACCATGCTGTGGACGCTGCTCCTGGCGCTGCTGCTGCTTCTCCTGCTGCAGACTCAGCTCTCCGTGTGCTTAAGGGAGCTGCGCAGCGGGGCTTCCGGTTCACCTCTTTACTCCACTCCTTCATCCTCCTCCTCCTCCTCCTCCTCCTCTTCATCTCACAATGCTACCCAGCAGCGGCTGCCCGGAGCCATCATCATCGGCGTGAGGAAAGGCGGCACCAGAGCCCTGCTGGAGATGCTCAACCTGCACCCAGACGTGGAGGTGGCGAAGGCTGAGGTAAAGCCGTCACTGTCAGCGGGCTGACGTCACGTTAACGCAGCGGGGACGTGAAGAAAAACTGTTTATTTAAACAATAAATTCACTTCAGTGCACAAAAAAAATCTGCTTTATTTGTTTCCAAGCAGCCAGACTTTCTTAGTCTTTTATGATGAGTTTGATCAACAGTTCTCCAAATCTTCTGTTGGGTTTTTGTAGCTTTTTCCTAAAACTTTGGTTATTTTTCCTCTAATTTTCAGTCCAGTTCTCAGGACAGTTAAAAAGTGTTGTAAAATCAAGAACAAAACTTTTAATTTTGTGTATGAATGTATTTAAATTGGCAGTGGGATTAAAGTTGCACAAAGGGGGCACCACCTAAAATCTCGCCCACGGCAGCAAATTGTCTAGGACCGGCCCTGCTTCTCAGGATCATTTACCTCATTGTATTCAATTAATTTACAATTAATAACAATATTTAATGACGTGTGTATCCTTGTGCTAGGTTGGTTCGTTGTTGGGTTGCTCCATTCTTTTCTAAGTTATTATAGAAGTATATTTATTTAGATTTTTCTTACCCTGAACTTTGTTGTGTAAAAAAGAAAGAAAAAGGGTCCAGTTTTTTTTTTTTTTTTTTTTTTTTTTTCTTTTTTTGCTATTTTCCTGTCAGCCTGTGAGAAAGCATCTGTGTGACAGGATTTCATCTTTTTGAGAATCCCAGTTTTGGTGCCAAAACAGATTTTTCTGTTATTATTGGCATGGTCCATTAAAGATGTGCGGATAAATTGTATTTAAAGCACCAAAGTGTCCAAACTGAAACTTTGAAAGATTATCACTCAAAAAAAATTTTACAGTGCCTGTGACATCATGCATATCCTTCAATACAAAAACTCGACAAAAACATCTTTATATTTAAGAATGATTTTATCTGTTTTGTCACATAACTGGCATATTTTCGTTTGAACTTGGCTCAGCCAAAGTGAAACAGGAAGTGACGTCAAAGGGGAACTCCTTAAGACAAGGAACTCTGTTGTTTATTAAAACATTAATGTCAGACTCTTAAACTCTCTGACACTCAAAATAAAAGAAGCATCAGATTCTTCTCTACAGTCTGTGTTTATCAGTTATTGTAGCAACGCTCTGTTTACATGCAGACATTCCCCTTTGACATCACTTCCTGTTACTACATGTGCAAATATCTCAACAACTGTTCATCAAAGCAGCTTGAAATTTTTTTTGCAATATATTTTTAAAGGTAAATTTCCAAAAATGTATACATATTTATTGCAAAAGTTTGATATCACAGGCACTTTAAAATAATGAAATGAAAGTCTGGCTGTTTAGAAGCAAAAGTAAAGGAAAATTACACTTTTATGTACCTGTCTTTTTTAAATAAGAAAAAATTCAACTATTTACATGTTGTTGTTTTGGTGGGTCGGGGTTGTCATTAGCTTGAGGTACAGGAAACTAATTTAATGAGCAAAAACAGACCCAGTTTTAGACTAATTATATTTACTAAAGAAGTTTCAGATGTCATGGTAATAATAAAGTGTTCATTATTCACTGGATACTTCAGCTGACCTGAAGATAATTAGGTGCTTGAGCTCTGAATCGTTACCTTCTGTTATTGTTTAATTGTCTTGCAGTGCTGAAGTTTTTACTTTATTACCGATGGTTTCATAATTAAAACAAAAACTCACCCTTATAGATCAAACAAACTCCTCAGCTCCTATTCAAACCTTTCAACAAAACAACCAACATTAACTAAAAAGACAAATAATAACAATAATAATCCTGCTGAATGGTTAAATTAGACATCATTTTATATAACTTTGCTGTAAGTGGGACAGATCTGAACCCTGACAGGAGTACATGATGAGAAAGCTGCATGTTTACTGTCTTGTTTTCGGCTGTTTTTGCAGCTTTTTGTTGCCCCAGGAGATCGCTGAGAAAAGAAAAACTCACTTTTTCCTTCAGTTGTCAGCTGACAGGTACCAGAGTGTATTTCACGCTCTCATCTCAGCAGCCAGTGAAAGAAACAAAGTGCAGAGATACACAACAATCTAAAACTAGCAACAAATGTCAGATTTTACACCACATTTTGGACAAACGAGAGAGAGAAAGAAGTCTTACAGGTATAGGAAAATATCTTCAAAAAGCTTTTATAAAAACGATTACTTTTTTTAGAAGCTTAATTAGCTTCTGAGCTTCCAGGAATTTGTTATAGTGAAGCACCCAAGGTCTGAAACATAAAGATATGGGCGGAGCTAGAATTTTTGGCAAGGGGTGGCACCCGGGTGGCCAAAGTGGTGTTTAATGGGGCACATGTAAATAAATAAAAACACTGAATTTAAACATTCAAGATAGTCGCCACAACTAATTCCAGCTGTTTTAAGAAATATTGAGCTGATTGCTAGTTTCAGCTCATTGCTCAGCCATATTTAGACACACAAAGCTGAAGATTAGCGTAGAAGTAGCCAAAAACAATCCTTACCAAATTCTAAATGCTAATCAAAACTTCAAGATGGCCACCTTAAATACTTTAAAAGGCTATAATTCAGCCATTTTAACACTTAATGAGATGAAATTTGTTGTGGATTAACTAAGAATGATCACATGTTAATGCTAGTCCCAGATTATGCTAACCACTAATGCTAACTATAATGTAAATATTAAAAAAGCTGCAATTCATCCAGTTTAAACTAACAGCTAAAAAATATTAGGAGTGCAACAATGCATGTATCTGTATGAAACTGTTTAATACACATCATGTGTGGAACAATTTAGATTTTTAAATTTTATTTTATCAGCTTGTTTTCTGAAGATGTTCTGTGTTGAAGGATCAGTGCATCTGTGTTCAACTACTCCACCCAGGCTGCATCGTCGAGCACAGATCTACTGAGAAACTTGTTGTTTCTGCAACATTTCATGAGGTTAAACAAATGTTCATAATTAAATTCAATAAATTACAAGTTAAGAAGGGCATGGACATTTCTCTTTTTTGTATCGAAAAAATATCGAACCATGAGACAAACGCAAACCGAATTGTGAATTTTCTGTATTGCTGCACCCTATATATATANTATATATATAGTACAGTGGAACAATTTGTAACAAAATGTAAATGCAAATACAAAAATAAATAAAGAAAAAAATCCCTTTGAAAGTGCCACCTGGGATGGCACTTGCCACTCTGTCCACCCCTCTGTCTCTGCTCCTGCATAAAGATATACAGGGTTCCCACGGGTCCTTGAAATCATTGAAAGTTTGTGAATTTGAAAAAAATATTTCAAGGCCCTGGAAAGTTTGTAAAAACAGCCAAAAATTACACTTGTGATTGAAAGTCTTTGAATATTTTTTGGGGATTGAAATTCTCAATTCACACAACTGATTTTCATCATCTTTTAAAAAAATAAATTATAAAATTCCATTAAAAAATTACATTTGTTACAGTGGATAATTCAGGATTATGGTAAAATGACATCTTTGTTTCTGATTCAACACCTTGTATGTTCAGTTTTTCATTGAATTTACATGATAGTAAACCTGTTTATTGATCACATTCTGCGGTAGCAGTAGGTAATTGCTGTTGCATGTGGTTATTTAATTTGAGGAAATTGGTACTGGAAAGTCCTTGAAAGTTCCTTGAATTTGATGTTGACCAAGGTGTGGGAACCCTGGATATAAAATAACAAATGTTTGAAGAAATGTTTATTGCATGCAACCTTTGATGCCAGACTTTGAGACTAAGATTATATATTGAGAAATGATATTATAGACATTTTATGAAAACCTGGACTGTAATAATATGAGTGCTCTCATGCAATATTGTAATATTTAGTAAATAGCTTCAGCCTAACTTGTTTAAAAAAAACTACATTTTGGAAGTTGTCAAGTAAAGTAACTCTGAGATATGAATCAGTGCTCGGGTCAGAATCATGTCAAAGAGCAGTTCGGTTCAGCTCAGCTCACTGGATGTGATTTAATACAAACAGGCAGCAGCAGAAGCAGCTGAACTTCCTCCAGTTTGATGTTTAGTTTTATGATCATCCCTGACGACGGCTCTTTGATGGAGAAGCTGCACTGAGAGGAATCCTTCTCAGGTCAGTTTAATGTTAGAGCTGCCGCGTTTCATGAGCTTTAACCAAAAACCAGATCAGTTAGGACAAGATGGACAGGAATTAAAAAGGCTGAGTGTCTTCTAAAGGTCTTTGACAAACTGGAGGTAAATCATGAGTTCATCCTAAAGATGCTGAACTTACAGAATACGTCTCTCTCCATCTTTGTCAGGTGCACTTTTTCAACCTGGAGGAGCACTTCCGTCGCGGTCTGAGCTGGTACCGAGCCCAGATGCCCTTCACGCTCCCAGGCCAGCTGACGGTGGAGAAGACCCCAGGATACTTCGCAGCTCCTCAGGTTCCCTCACGAGTCTGGGACACGAACCCAGCGGTCCGTTTGTTGCTGATCGTCCGGGACCCGGCAGAACGGCTGGTGTCCGACTACACCCAGGTTCTCCACAACCGCCTGACCCAGCTCAAGCCCTACCAGCCTCTGGAGGAGCTTCTGCTCCGCAAGGGCCACATCAACCACGGGTACAAGGCCCTGCAGAGGAGCCTGTACCACCTGCACCTGGCCCGCTGGCTCGAGGTCTTCCCCAGGGAGCAGATTCACATCGTGGACGGCGACGCCCTTATCCAAGACCCCTTCCCCGAGCTGAGGAAGGCCGAAAGGTTCCTGGACCTACCGCCCAGGATAAACCCCAGCAACTTTTACTTCAACACCACCAAGGGCTTCTACTGCCTGTTGTCCGCCGGACACGACAAGTGCCTGGACGAGTCCAAAGGCAGACCTCACGCTCCTCTGAGCGCGCAGGCCCTGAAGAAGCTCTGCCGCTTCTTCAGGAAGCCCAACAAGCTCTTCTTCGAGATGGTGGGCAAGTCGTTTTCCTGGTGCTGATCCAGCCCTGGAGGGCTGTGGAGCAACACAATCAGGGGTAGACACGGGGTAGACGAGTGAAAACACTGAACAGTTCTCTCTGTCGGTACCTCCTCAGGTAAAAAAAATTTAAAAAGTGGCCAGAAGGAGAACTGAGCAGAAACTGTGACCAAGCTGGTGCCTCCTCAGACACGACGAAGCTACAACAACTGTGCCATACACGAGTGTGAAAATCAGAACTGTCTGTTAGGACCATAGACTGTATGATGATAGACCCTGGATGGAACCGTTCTGCAGACGTTTCATTTCTGAAGAGATGTTCTGTCAAACCTTTATCATGATTTAGTACCTTAACAGCCATGACACCAATCAGACCACATAGAGGTCCTCATCCAGACCGGACTAATGGCTGGACGAATACGGGCCTGTTGTTTTCTCAGACTTATATGAAATAATTCTACCTTACCTCAGGTAGGTATGTCTGCAGACAAAGTAGGCGTTTCCAACGGAAGGTGTTTCTTAATGGCCACACCTGATTGGATGAATATTTAACACATTCTCACCCCCCACTCATCAACATATTGACGCTTTTCCAAAGTTCCCTCTGCGTCTTATTTTGATGAGTTGGTTGACCCCCTCGCGTCAATCTTTGCCGCCCGCGGCTTTTCCGGATTGCGGCACCAGGGGTCTTTGGGTCGGGGGTCTAAGGTTAACATGAGGGATCAGGATAAATGGTTAAGTTTAGGTACTGGGGTCAGGGATAGGATGTCTACAGCGAATATTAGGTAATTTTAGGCTTTGGAACACGTAGTTGATGCGAATTTCCTACATTTTCTACAAATGGTTAATTTCAGGTATCAGGGTTAATGGTTAATTTTAGGTACTTGGGTCAGGAACAGGATGTCTAAAGTGAATAAAGGTAATTTTAGGCTTTGGGACGGTAGTTTTTGTGCATTTTCTACACTTTCAGAAATTGTGACAACAGATTCCGCCCCAGCTCGTCAAAAAATGACGCAAGGGCGACGCGTCAAAATTGGACGCAGAGGGATCTTTGGAAGAGCATCAATATGTGACGACTCGGGAGTGGGAATGGGTTGAAATATTGTGTAAGCATTTCGTCATTGGATCTGTCCAACAGATTTTCATTTATTTATTTAGTTAGTTTCTCAAGCTTGTTGTTGTAAATGAGGGTATCAGAAGCCTGGTTAGGTTATTGTTAGGGCTGGGGTTTGGGTTAGCCAATCAGTGTTTACACTGTAGAAACACCTATGCTTTAGAAACGCCCACTTTGAGGCTGCAGATACCCCCATCTACCTTATCTGGGTAACCCTTTATTATAACTAACCCTTATTTAGCCTTACTTACTCATTAATAAATGGTTAGTTAACCAAGAAAACATCATTAATTAAGGATTATTCACACTTAACACATTTATTAACACATTTATGTTTGATTTGCCAATGATTTTGGTCTGATTTCCACTGTAGTCCTTCGGGGTTTTTGTCTAAAATAACAAACATTTTAAAAAGCATCAGTAGTCAAAAGGTTCACAAAAAGATTAACTACTAACAACTGACGTAATTATTGATGCACAGCAGGATCAATTCAATTCAAACATTCTCAAAATAATAATTCATGTTTAAAAGGGCGTAAATTTAGGTCCACCATTGAAGATCTTTCTGGTGGGTTCTTCTGCCAGGTGTTCCCATCAAACTCTATGTTTTGGGTCCACCAGATCTTCCCCCACCATCTGATCCAACTCACTACCAGGTGGTGACCGGTTGATAGATCAGCTCTAATCCCCCCGTCTGCAAATTATGCCCATGCATGTTCAATACATGGTGTGAAAGTACATTTATATGAGTGTTTAAACACATAAATTCACAGTCTACAGAATGGTTAATTCATGAGTTATTAAGAATAAACAATGAGTATATCGGTTTTTGGAGGTAATTAGCCTTTAGCGTTAATAAACGTGCTAACTTATAACTTATTAAATAGGATTCTTCCTTAATTAATGATATTTTCAAGGTTGTTTTCAAGGTTAACTAACCATTTCTTAATGAATAAGTAAGGCGTAGTTAGTTAGTGAGGTATTGTTACCCATTATCTAAAGGTACTAATTTCAAAATCATAAACCACACATTGCAGAGTTGCATGTCTATATAAACGGAAAGCTAAACTGAAATGAAAAAACAGCAACAATGTCAAATTTAACAGGAGCTACAGTAAGGGAGCGTTCTGTCATTTATGAGAAGCTTTATAAACCTGAACACCAATAATGGGTTTTTGTTTGGCTACTTGTTAGCCTAGTCTGAGTGAAGACTCATCTGTGACTAATGAGATATTGATAATTGATGACTGACAGAACCTCACATCAGAAACTATCTCTTTAAGTCCTGCCCCCCTCCATGAAAACAAGCAGAACTTTGCTGTTGGTAAAGTAAAAAATATAATAAAATAATATACACCTTGGACATATGGACATAATTTTATGTTTGGCTTTTTTTATGCACTTCTTGCTTTATATTTATTTTTCTAATGAATCTGCTTTAGTTGTTTCATGCTGAAAAGAGGGGACATGTGACATCATGTTTGTGTGTGGGGGGAGTGGGCGGGACTTAAAGCCCCACATCTCTTCTGCTCAAAAATCCAACATGGCAGCTTTCATGAAAACAGTTGAAACATGAAACAGTTGGTCTATCAGTATATATGTCTATGGTTACTTCTCGTGTGGGTTGATTTAAAAAAATACGTGCAAACTTTGAAGTGATGCAGAAATAAATAACATCTGCTGGTTGCATTGATTTATTGTTGCACTACGACCAAATTGCATTAAAAGTCAATCAATGTTTTCAGTTTCAGAAACAAACATCTTTTTTTCCAGACATTTATTTCCTGTGTTAGTTTTATAGTTTGCTGCTTTGTGGATAAACTTTTTAATAGATGCTAAATGAACGTCTTTAATTTTTAAAAGCCGCCATGTTGATGTTTTTTTAAATGTTCTTTTAATAAATGTTTTCAGCCTTCATTGAGTCTCCTTCCTGAGCCCAGAAATTATTTTATAAATATTCTAGCTACACCTGTTGAGGCGATGCAGTGTATTTATTATGTGTAATAATATAAAGAGGATAATGAACAGAGCAGAATGAGAGCTGAAGGCTGACCCCGGCCTGTCACCCTCCCGCCCCTCTCAGGAGAGAAGCAGGAGGATGAAGACAGAGGCAGATGTGAGGGGAAACAGATGAGTCCTGCTCTTTGAAGATGTGGCAGCTCCATCTTTTCATGTGCCCCTGCAGAGGCCTGCCCTCATCTGGATTCTACCTCAGGTGTCGTCTTCAATCAGACCAGGCTTTGCTTTATTTGTTCATGAGTCTGCAGCGGCTTCGGCTTCACGTTGATCTGAAGCTGACTCTGGATGATCGTTCCGAGGATGTTCCACATCAGTCCCTGCTCCTCTTGAGACAGAAACAGCTTAATGGAGAGCCAAACTGATGCTGAAAGTGGAAATAAACAATGAAGAATAAACAACTATTGAAGGAATTTGTATTGCCACCACCTTCAAATCCAGAGTTTCCAGCTGATACCGTTTTATGTTGAGGAGTTTTAGATTTGTTGTTCCTTGGCATGCCAGTTGCTAGCCTCTCCAATGCTAACACCAGCTTATCCATGCTACTTGCTAGCCTCTCCAATGCTAACACCAGCTTATCCATGCTAGTCACTAGCCTCGCTAACACCAGCTTATCCATGCTAGTTGCTAGCCTCGCTAACACCAGCTTATCCATGCTAGTTGCTAGCCTCTCCAACACTAATGCCAGCTTATCCATGCTAGTTGCTAGCCTCTCCAATGCAAATGCCAGCCCATCTATACCAATGGATAGAGGAGGGAGTTGGCAATCCACTGGGTTTCTAGTAGTACTGGGTGGTATACCGTTTTGTACCGAAAACCAGTTTTTATTTTTGTTATGATATGACTTTTCTGAATACCGGTGTAAATAGCCTGGACACGTGCGGAACGTTTCGTCGCGGCCGCCAGTGAACTGTTTCCCTGGGGACACTTTTCCTCGCAGCACCGTTAAGTGCATTAGCATGCTAATGTTATTGTTGAAACAACTGGCGGCGGGTGGTGTATTTCAGCCGCTTATATGGTCTAACTTTAAAAAAAATCCTGTTTTCACCATCGCTGAATAGTAAACAACTCTTCAGTGACGTGCACGGTTAGATTTAACDYGCTACGTTATAATGGAGACGTTATTGCATGGAGACTTTAGCGTGCTTCTATTGTGAAAAGCCCGGGGGGAAGTAGATTTGTAATGTAGCTGTGTTGACTGGTGTGCAAGGCCAATTGTCCTTTTAAGTTTTATTAAAGCAACGATAGACCAGATAATGATTTTTTTCTCAACACTTCATGATCGGACCTAAATGCATGATTATTGTCTACAAGCAGTCAAAGAAGAAAAGATGCACAAGAGGAGGGAAACAGTCATACAGAGGTACAGTGAAAGAAAAAAGTCAATAAGCAAAGTTTGTACATTTTATTATCAGCTGAGCTGTGAGGAAAAAAAACTGTCAAATACTGTGAAACCGGTGTAATTGTTGAAAATACCGTGATATAAAATTTGGGTCATACCGCCCAGCACTAGTTTCTAGCCTCTCCAATGATAACACCAGCTTATCCATGCTAGTTGCTAGCCTCTCCCATGCTAACACCAGCTTATCCATGCTAGTCACTAGCCTCGCTAACACCAATGTATCCATGCTAGTTGCTAGCCTCTCCCATGCTAACACCAGCTTATCCATGCTAGTGGCTAGCTTCTCCAATGATAACACCAGATTTTCTATGCTAGTCGCTAGCCTCTCAGATGCTAACACCAGCTTATCTACAATTGCAAAGCTTTGCCAAATTTGCATAATGCTAAAGATGCATAAGTACATTTGTTTCAAACTTAAAATAAAATTTAGATTTTTTTGTCTTGCCCATTTTTTGACTAGTTGCTGTAAAAGTTCTCCACTGTGTTTGTTGCCATCTTGTTTTCACTGAAATGAGTGTAGTGCTGTCCTGTGACCACTAGATGGTGCTGTTAGTGTATTTAATGAGGCCAAAGGGTTACAGTAAAAAAAAAGAAGTATCATGATGCAGAGGCAAAAATGCTGTGTCCTCGAATGAGGACGTGGGGTCTTCATTCACAAGCACTTAAAGTGGTTCATTGTTGGCTTTAGACATCTGGCTCACATAATCAGCTTTAAATCTAAAATTTTTTGTTCTCATGCTAAGTTTGTAACTTTCTTCAGAAAGCTAATGCAGCAGAGCAGCAATCTGACTCAGATTGGAGCGTACATCATGAAACCCACTCGTGAGAGGCTGATAATTGGACCGAGCGAGATTTGAGATCGTCGTGACTCAAATGTTTTTTGTCTTTTTTTTTTCTAAGTAAAGAAATGACCAGCTGTGCCTCAGCATGTCTCTGTGAACTTCCTGCAAAGGTCGGTCCTGTTATTGTCGGAATAATTTCTTCTCTGCCAGCCACCCGACAATCTGAAGCTGCGTCCGCCGTCGTCTCAGAGTCATTAAACCTCTGAGTCAGACACGAGTAAACAAAACTTCTGAGGCTGTTTTCTAACGGTGCAGATTTGTGTTCCTGTCGCCCTCAGAGCCGACTGCTCATCAGTCATTTTTCAGCTCAGAATAAAAAACGTTTTAATCACAGTTCAGTCAGCAGGGCTGCAAAGGAAGACATGAGCACAAAGATTTATTGCAGCTTTTAGGAATGCTTATCACCCGCCAGAGTTTTGAGTTAAAACATCTTAAAATCTTAAAACGAGTCTTCTATCCTTGTGAGGACTCTGCGTTAGCTTCCATTCATTTCTGTAGTAAAATGCACACACACACACACACACACACACACACACACACACACACACACACACAC